GCAGGCAGACGGTGAGCTACGAAATGAGCAACAAGGTTGTGATGAGTAAGGCCTCAAACAAAATTAAGTAGGCTGCAGGGCTGGAGAGGGGAGAGGCCATGGTGGCCCCAGAGGTCAGGAAGGGGGGCCTTCTGAGCAGGAGCATCCAAGCAGGCACTTGAGTGAAGTGAGAGCACAGACCCTCTGACACTGAGGCAGGAGGAGCAGTGAGCGTGGCGGCCCTGTGAGCATGAAGGGGGAGACAGGAGGCGGGCTGGGAGGGCCAGGCCCAGCCACCTCGCTCTCTGTTCATCCTCCCACTGCGTGACGTCCTACCACAGGTACTCGGTGTATCTGCCCATGTCCTCTAAACATGCAGTCAGCAGAAGACCCCCAAGAACAAATCCCTGGGGCCGGTGTGGCTGCTGTTAATAACACATGGAATAGGGCCCTTTGGGCAACTTTGAGGAATCTACTCCCCAGCGCCTGTTTGGACCACACAGTTCAAGGTGACTCTGTAAACGCCCAGGCCAGGGTTCCACTTGGATGTCTAATAGAGACCTTACATTTAAAAGGTCTGAACCTTGGTTTTGGTTTTCGTGTTTTTCTGGGAGCCCAGCAGATGGCATAAGGGTTGCATTGCTGAACCCCTATGTGGCCCGCTGCAGTTCAAGTCTCGGATCTGGAGGCTTGGAGCTCATGCCAAGCACACACTGGGCACATATGCATGCATGCCCAGGATCGCAGGAGGAGAGTGGAAGAGAGGGGATTGCGGTATGGCAATCCCTCCTGGGTTTTTGTTTTGTTTTGTTTTTGAAAAACAGTCTGGGGACCAGCAGTTGGCATAATGGCTACGTCGCTGGACTCCCATGTAGTCAACCATGTTTTGAATCCCAGACCCGGTGGCTTAAATTCACGCTGGGCAGTTGTGCAAAAAGCTTCTCTCCCCCCACCCCCAAAAAAAGTCTGAACCTGGAGTGGCCCTGTAGTACAGTGGTTAAGTGCTATGGGAAGGGGGATTCTACATGGCTGACCACAGTTCCAGTCCTGGCCCCAGTGGCCTAAAAAACAAGTCAGCTGCATGGTCACATGTGCCCAGGATCCTGATGGGAAGGAGGAATGGAGCAAAGGGGATCGTGGCATGACAGGCCCCCTTGGCGGGGGCTCACTCTCTCTGGCATGCACCCTCTGGCATAAAAAAAAAGAAAAAAAGTCAGAATCTAGACGTTTCAAGTGGTAATGACTCTGAAGGAAGCCAAGGATTGTGACTATCTTCCCTTTTTCCTGGGCTGCCCCTTGTTCCCAGGCCTCCACGTCCCAGCCACTAGCAATATTTTTGCTCAGGCCAAGGAAACTTGGCATCATTCTTCACTCTTCTTCCTCTTGCATTCCATATGCTCCTTGTCACCTCTGCTGTCGCCCTGGCCATCCTCCATCTTTGCTTGGCTAGTCTATTGCAGTAGTCTCCTCTCTGACCAGCTTTCTTGGGCGCTTATCCCCTGGAGCTTGAAAGGCAAGGTAGCAGATGCCCCCTGAGAAGGTGGGAGTTTGCTGTAGTTTGTCCTGTGGGTTCAGAACCTGAGGGAGAAGGAACTTTACCTTCCCCAGCTGCCGCCCTGGCCCCACTGGCAGTGGAAACGCAGTGAGACCCGTGCAGAGGCAGCAAGAGCACCCGCTACACCCCCTCCCCCTGCCTCTTTGCCTCTCCAAGTCAGTGCTGGGTAGGGCCCCAGCCTCCTCCTCCCCCAGACACAGTGACCTTCACTGAAAGCAGACGCTGAGCTGTATCTCAGTACACGCTGCTGAGGGCCCACGCCGTGCCTGCCCAGTGCAGGTTCCGGGGTTTCAGAGATGGCTAAGACGTGGCACGGGGGCGAAGCAGCCAAAGCACAGCCTTCACTTGTACTCCACATTGAGCTCATCCTTCAGTGAAAACCCAAGCGAGACTTTCTCAGGCTGACCTCCCTGGCTTGTCCCCCATCCTCTCTCTAGGCCTCCTGGACTTCTCAGTGGCATTCCCCCCCACCCCGCGTGTGCTCGGGTGCACCGCACTGAGCAGGCTGCAGGCTCACATGGCCAGTCCATGTCTGTGTTGCCCGCCCCCCATCCCGCCCGGCAGCCGCCAAGCAGTAGGACTGCATACACGCTGCACAGCCAGTGAGCGTGGGGGAAGGAAGTTTCAACTCCGTCGGAAACAGCCTGTCAGCAAAGGAGGCATTCTGTGTCCTTCCTGGGGATGATCTGAGTCTGGGGACAGGTGTCAGGGAAGGGGGTCTGAGGGGCCGTTGAACTCAGAACTGGCTGTAATGCGTACAGCCAGGCTGTTCTGGGAGCCTTTATTCGGGCCTCTTAATCTCAGTGGCCTTGGGGCACTGGGGGAGGAAGAGACCAGGCTGCTCATGGACCAGAGCACCCAGAGCATCCCCCCACTGCCGGCCCTGGCATTTCAGGGTCACGGCCAGAGCCAGATGTGGAGCGCGAGACGCTGCTTGGAGGCCAGCAAGCACGGTTGGTTCTGCTTATCGTCCCGAGAGCCTAGTGGCTGGAAGCGTTGCCATAGAGACAAGGGGAGTGGATATTCTGCTTCCTGAGTTGAGGAGCTGGGAGCAGCCCCAGCTCACACCAGTGCCACCCTCCCCTTCCAGAGGCCTCTTTACCCTCTCCCATCAGACCTGGGAGACGGGCCGGTGTTTCTGGTGCGGAAGCATGGCAGCTCCAATCTGCAAGGCTGTTCGTACCCTCCAGAAGCCTCACCCTAGCTCTTGCTCAAGGGGTTCTCCTGTCTCTGTATCTCCCTTCAAACCCGCCCCAGGCTGGTCCCACCCCTTACTAGGTCTCTCACCTGACTTCAACAAGTCCAGGGCTTGATGCTCTCTGCCCAGTGAAAACCATGGTGTTAATTATAGTACACATGTGGGGTTGGGGATGCCAGGAGCTTTCCGGGGCAGAACTGGGAAAGCTGACCAAAGACTGGCCAGGGCATGACTTGTGCTCTTCCCACTAAGCCACTGTGCCAAGTGGGTTTTTTTCTCCCCTTTAAGCATCCTTGCTTGTCCCCACACTGTCCTGCTCCCCCAGCCCTGTCCTTTTCCCACACTTCTTTCTACCTGGTGAACAACTTTTCACCCCTGAGAACCAGCTCAGATTCTTTGGCCTCCTCAAGAGCTCCCCACTCTTTGGGACCAGCAGTTAGCGTAATGGCTATGTCGCTGGACTCCCACGTAGTCTACCGCGGTTCGCGTCCCAGACCTGGTGACTTAAAACCCACACCGGGCGCATGTGCATGCGTGTCCAAGATCCTGAGAGGAGAATGGAGGAGAAGGGATTGCAGCATGGCCATCCCCCCTGGGGGGTGATTTCTCGCTTTCTGTCTCTCTGTCTCTCCCTGTCTTTCTAGCGAGCACATGTGCCCTATAGCGAAAACCTCTCGGGAAAAAAAAAAAAAAGCGCTCCCTGCTCTCACTGCAAGCCCCCCAAGGCCATCCCACCAACAAGGGAATGACTTCTCTGTGTTTTGCAACCATTTGCATCATTCAGAGCACATTTGTGTCTTGGGATCATTTCTTTGTATGGCTGTGTCCACCACTAGCCCGTGAGCTCCTTGGAGCAGGGAGCAGATCTCACCTATGTCTGTACACCTTAGTGCCAGCCCAGGGCCTGGCTTTTGCAGGGGTCCAAAATGGTGAAGGACTTTAGGAATGAATGTCTGGAAGAAGCTTTGTAGAAACATGGCCTCTGAAAGGCTCAAAGGCCGTTTTTTCCTCTTAATTCATGATAGTGCACATGCACATGAGAACAAGAGAGATGAGCACCCTCCACAGGGTCTAGTCTTGGTCTAGTCCGCACCCTCCAGCCCACAGAACTTGGGCACTTGTGTGTTTGCCTGACACAGTTCAGGCTGACCAGGCCAGGGGTTCCAACCAAGGTCACCGTGGGATCTGGCTTCTTGAGTAGCCCGTAACTGCTGTGCCCCGGAGCTGGCCCTTGAGTCAGTCTTTAACCGTGTCCTATGCAGAAGCTCCAGGGGAGCAGAGATGGCATCTTTTGCATCGCCAGAGCTTGCATGGCAAGATGGAGTGTAAGCATCTCACATCCGTTCAGTGGAGGAGGTGGGCTTTAGGAGATCTTCGAAGGAAGCCGAGGAAGGGGTTTCCAGACCCCAAAGACATAAGTATAAAATGAGGAAAAGTGGCCAGAGCAGTGCGAAGTTCCCCAGGGAGGGAGCCGGTAGAACCAACAGAACTGAGGGGGTTGGGAACTCAGTGTGGTCTGGAGCAGGGTTCTGAGACTAAGAAGCTCGCTTAGGAGCCCCAGTACACAGTAGGTCCTTTGTGGACCCTTCCCTGGGTGCTGAAGGGAACGTTGCACACGCAGCAATATTGCCTTCAGCATGTGTCGTGACAGGACACAGAGGAGAGGGAGAAGGGGAACAGTCGCCAGAGTGTGCAGGGTAAGATCTGAGACGCCCTTGCAGAGTAGGGCTGCTGCCTGCAGGAGACGGGGGCAGTGGAAAATGGCCGTTAGGGTCATCGACTGGAGGTCTGGTGAAAATGCCCAGCCCCTCCGAGGAAGAGTGGAAAGTAGACTCATAATGAATGAGGCCTTTGAAGCTGCCATCCAGCTCTAGCCTTTGTACCAGTAAGATCATCTGGGAGCTGGAAACCAACACTGATCTCTGCCCCTTGCACCAGATGGGGGAGTTCGTGCTGCATGTCAGCCTGCTGGGTGAGCCCATGCTGCCAGCCCAGGGACACGTCTGAACCCAGTTGGCAGACAGGAAAAGCATGGGGCACCCTTCTTGCCTGCAATCAGCTAGAATCCAAGTGCTCCCGGTTTGCCAGGCTCTGCCCGGCAGCCCGTGCACGGAAGGCAGAGACCTCATCCCTCATCACACTGGCAGACGTCATAGCTCCATTTTACAGCTGAGAACCCTGAGGCTTCAGGAAGAAGGAATCAGCCAGGGTCACCCAGTGGGCAAATGGGGGGCACGTTGCAAATGCTGCTGTCTCTTGTGGCTCTAGAAAACTCCACGGCCAGCGTGAGCGAGGCAGAGAAGAAGGCCCAGGTGTACTATCGTGCCTGTATGAACGAAACCAGGATCGAGGAGCTCAGGGCCACACCCCTGATGGAGTTAATTGAGAAGGTGGGTCCCTTGGTCGTGTCTGCCGAGCCTCCTGCCCATGACACCTGTGCCCTCTCCACTTCCACCCCAGCGTCAGTACCGGCCTGTTCTCACCTCCAGCCACCGCGCCCAGCTGGACTGGTGAACTTATCTGCACTGCTGCACGTGTTAAGGCTGCCTGAGTGTGCAAGTGTATATGTGTGCACAGACGCTTCCCCATCTCAGTGTGAGCGAGCTGTTGGGCCTGTACCTGTGTGGGGTGTTGGAATCTGTTGGGGATGCCTGTCATCTGTAGGTGTTTATGTCTATGTATCTTGTGTGGGACAGGGCCACTTTACAGGGAAAATGTTCTCCACATTGCCGCTTCCTCTTCCTCCAAGGATGTGCTTGGGTGTGTGGAGGGGTACGTGCATATTCCAGAAAGACCAGCAGGGGCTCAGAACAGACCCAGAGCCCTCCCTGTGAGGAGGGCCCCACTGAGCCCTTACTCCCAAGCAGAGGAAGGAGTCTTTCTTCCTGGGCATCTCCCAGTGGGCCTTGGGTGGACCCCAAGGGGGGCTGCCTGAGGCTGGCTGGGTTGCCAGGCACAGACAGACCTGGCAGTGCAGCTTTCTGGCTGCTCTTGGCTCCCTGAGGGCTCTGCCTCCTGGCTCGGCTCAGGGGACATATCACAGAAGGTTGTGGCTATAGGCACTGGGGACCATACCATCCCTCCTCAGGACAGATGCATGTGTCAGCATGTGCCAAGCCAGGGAGACCAGAGGTGTTTTTGTTTTTGTTTTTTTTTTAAATCCTAGAGTTGAGAAAGACCACAACCTATCAACCTTTTAAAAAATATGGAGCTAGGCCCAGCAGGTGGTGTAGCGATTATGTCACTGGACTCCCACATGACTGACCACAGTTCAAGTCCTAGACCTGGCAACTTAAAATTCACACCAGGCACATGTGCATGCATGCCCCAAATCCTGAAAGGAGAATGGAAGGGATTGCAGCATAGCCATCCCCCCTAGGGAGGATTTCTTACTTTCTGTCTCTCTGTCTCTGTCTTTCCAGTGAGTACATGCACCCTATAGCAAAAATCTCTCTTTTAAAAAAAAGAGGAAAAAAATGAAGGCTTTTTCTCTATAGGTACAGTTGAATTTATGTTTTAAGAGGAATTACATTCACATAATTTTTATTTTATTTTTTTATGTCAGAGGGTGGTGCACAGGCTGGCATGCAGAGCTCCCCTGCGATGGAGTCTGGTCACACTGCAGTCCTTTTTCTTTCAATTCTCTTCCCCGTCAGGGAACTAGGCATACACATGTGCACCTGGCATGTTTTTTCAAGGGGTCAGGGCTGAGACTTAAACCCTGGTCAGCCATGTGAGATCTGTCTTCCTCCACTCACTTCACTATGGAACTGGCCCCTCCATTCACTTAATTTAATATCCAAAAGTCAACAGCGTTCTGGAGAAGCCTCCTCATTCCCGTCCCAGCCACGTAGGAGCGGCCAGCATGTGGCTTCCTGTCTTGCTCGTCTAGGTTAACTCTGCTCCATCCGTGAGGGATCAGAAGCCCCCCTACAGACCATCCCTTTTCACTTGGTCTTGAGGCCCAGGGAGGCCACTCACAGAGCAAATCAGCTGCAGAACTCGAATTCGCATCCAGGTCTCCCTACCCTCATCACCTCCCCTGTCCACTCTCTCTGCACAGCTCGGGGGCTGGAACATCACAGGCCCCTGGGCGAAGGACAACTTCCAGGACACCCTGCAGGCGGTCACTGCCCACTACCGCACCTCACCCTTCTTCTCTGTGTACGTCAGCGCCGACTCCAAGAACTCCAACAGCAATGTGATCCAGGTGAGCCAGCCCGAAACCTCCGGAAGAGAAGCAGAGTGCGACCTCTTCCTCTTTGGAGTTTTGCAAGTGCTGGGTGGAGGACCTCACCCTGGGTGGGGCTGCAGGCTTCTGGCTTCTGAGCTTGCATTAGTTTTGGAAGCCCCAAGCAGTGAAATTTGTGTGGGCAAGAAACTATGAAAGAGCAGGCTGCCACTCTTGGGTAGATCAGTCACTGCAGTTTGGGGTCTCATTGGCCACTGTGGACCCCAGGAGTGACACCAACTTCTGGACACAGCTGGAGCCACTTCGAGATCTCCCTGCCTCCCAGTCTGCTTGGAATGGCGCTGAGCCCAACTCCCTCCCAGCCAGAGCCTGCCGCAGCCTGAGGGTCAGCACCTAGGGATGCCCAGCACGAGTCCGCTCTAGCCTCAGAGGCAGAAGCCTGAAACCCAGGCTGGCGGTCACGAGGCTGAGTCCCAGCCCAGCTCTGCCGTTCACTCACTGTGTGATCTCGTACAAGTGCCTCAACCTCTCTGAGATGCAGTTTCCTTGTCAATCCAGTTGGCTGTAATGCCTAGGTACATCCAGGTGTCACCCTTCCCTACCTGCCTTGCATTCAGCAAGCCCTTTACTGGCGGCATGAGCCCCTGAAATTCCAACTGTGCAGGAGACTAAAGCAGACCATAGTTTATCAAGCTGTTTAAAAATAGGAGGCCTTTCCCCCCCATAGGCACAATTGAATTTACTCCAGCTCTGGAAGCTGGCTGTAGTTGCCCCTCTTCTCCAGAAGAGGGCTCCGAGGATCAGAGACTAAGTGGCTGGGCAAGGGTTCCCACTGACGTGTGCTCTGCAGCCTTGGGGAGTGTATGGTGGCACAGGCTTTGCCAAGGCTGGGCATGCTACAAGAGGAGGTGGCGGTCAGCCCATTGGAAAGGGCCAGAATCCCTGCAGCTGGACGGTGTGGGCGGGAAGGTTTCTGTCCTCTCCCTGAATGAGCTCACCCTGGGGTCACTTGAGCCACCAGCTCCTGCTCCTACCAGGGCCAGGGCTGCCCCTCTGATGCCTTGGGCCTCAGAGTCACCCCAGGGCATGTGTGGGGGCCACACCCACACCCACCAGGTGCTTCCCTCAGGCCTGCCTCTCTCTCTAGGTTGACCAGTCTGGCCTGGGCTTACCCTCAAGAGACTATTACCTGAACAAAACTGAAAACGAAAAGGTGAGTTCCCCCTTCTGAGACAGCGGCTCCCACCCCACCCCGCCCCCAGAGGATTCTCCCCCTTCAGTGTCTGCACCCCCACACACACGGGAAGGTCTCTGGAGCCAGAGGAGCCCAGAGGTATCCCTTACCTATGGGCAAGAAGCTGTCCCTGGCCAGGGAGGGCACCCCCAGGCTGGCTAAACCACAGTCAAGCATTGTGGACATGAGGGGCAGGAAGCAGCTGTCATTAGTCCCCAGTCTGCAGAGGCAGAGAGAGCACAACAGCTGGGCACCGGCCTCCACACACCTCACCCAGCTTCCCTTACCCTGCAGTCCTGCACTCCCTGAGCCTCACCTCATCTGTCACGTGGGGTTATTTTACTGAGGAGGGAATAAGGCTCAGAGATGCTGAGCGGCCTGCTCAAGGTCACACAGCCAGTCGGTGGTGAGGCTGATGTGCACATCCAGACCCACCTGCTCCAGAGCCCGCACCCTGCCCCCCCACCTGCCTGTCAGGGCACCTCTGGGGAGACCTCACCTGAGGTGCCCTCATCTGCCCGATCATTCCACCCTCCTGTAGCGCCCCAGCGCCCCTGAGTGCCCGCTGCTGGTAGGTGGCTGTGAATGAGATCGGCATGGCCCTCATCCCGCAGGGCTGGAAGCCTGGTAGGGAGGTGAGCAGGCCTTGACTAGCCACTCGGGAAGATGCGCAACCACGAACCGCGGCAGGGCAGGGTGAGCAGAACTGCAGCTGGCCCTGCCCCTCCCTGCCCTACCCTTGTCCACCGCTGAGTTTGGGGGTGCTGGGCCCCACAGGTGCTGACTGGATACCTGAACTACATGGTCCAGCTGGGGAAGCTGCTGGGCGGGGGGGACGAGGAAGCCATTCGGCCGCAGATGCAGCAGATCCTGGACTTTGAGACGGCGCTGGCCAACATCACGATCCCCCAGGAGAAGCGCCGGGACGAGGAGCTCATCTACCACAAAGTGACTGCGGCCGAGCTGCAGGTACCTTGACGCCCTCCGCCTAGAGCCAGGGACAGCCGCTGGGCTGCAGGCAGGGGGCTGGGCTGGGGGTTTCACACGCCCTGCAAGAGACCCTTGAAATACGCGTAGAACAAGAGGTGTTGTTGGGCCCAGTTTACAGATGGTGAAGAGACGCGCCAAAGGCCACATAGTAGTGTCTGCCCTGCACCAGGCTGCTTTCCAGAAGGCCCTGTGGCCACGACAGTGACAGCCGACATGGACAGGGGTCTTCAGGCTCCAAGCACGTGGAGCTGGGCCGGAGTGAGCTTGTACTACCTGTGAGGTGTGGATTCTGTCCTCACCCTCCCTCTTCTGAGTCAGGAGGTTTGGGGTTCAGAGGTTCCTAAGGGCAGAGGAAATGGCCCCCTGGCAATGCCCTGGAGGTACAGTGGGGATCTGCAGTCAGCTCTGTAACTGCTGTGACCACCACAAGTCTGGTATGCCCTGGTAGTTCAGCCTCTGCCAAAGGCTGCCCCCTGGTGGCTGCCTGAGCCTCGAGGGTCCAGAGTCAAAGGTCTACTGGTCCCTTCTTCCTAATCTGTTGGGTTTGGCTGTCCAGCCCTGTCCTGGGCCCCAGGGGTCACAGAGTGGCTCCTGCCAGCCTTCCTGTTTATGTTTTTTAATGAATTATTCAATTTTATTTATCATTGTTATTATTTTTTAATTTGACCAGAGAGAGAGAGAGAGAGACAGTGAGAAAGCAAGCCTCCAGGTCCAGGACTCAAACCACATTCAGCCATGTGGGAATCCAACACCCCAACCACCACGCTACCTGCCAGCCCCTTTCTGTTTCTTGCTATCTCCAAAGATGATTGGCTAGGCCTGCTCGCCTGGGAAGGAGGCCCAGGGGCTGGGCTCTCCCAAAATGTAGAGGGTCCCTTCTCCGCCCTCTGGCCAGTCAAGTTCCGCTTGCCCATCCAAGTTGGGCTCATTTGCTGCTCCTATCAGGATGAATACTGGGTCTCCTCCCAGTTATCTTACTCTGCTGCTCTGACAAGCGCACGCGGGGCCACCTTGGGGTTTTGCTTTATTTTGTTTCTTCTGTTTGCCGGAAGGCACGTGCTCCCACCATAGAGAGCAGCACCCCCACAGGGTGTGGTCCCACTGCAGTTCCTCTTCCCCATTCCCCCTTGCAGTCAGGATTTAGGGCACACACAAATACTTGCGCACACGCCTAGCGTCTTTCTCAAGCCACCAGGGCCGGGATTTGAACTGTGGTTGACTATGTAGAAAACGGCTCTCTTAAACACTACACTAACCTCAGGGCCTTGCTCTTAGTGTGCTAATCGGGCATACCAGCTAGGAAATAATCCCAAGCATAGTGCTTTGGGCAGAAGAAGCAGGGCCCTGGGAACCGAGGAAGAAGGGGTGAGGAGTTAGGGAAGCTGAGTCTAATGTTGGGTGATATTGGCCAGGCTGACTGGGGGTCCCAGGCAGAGGTGTGGCCCACACAGACGGCAGAGGCCTGGCATCAGGGTGCGTGGTGCCAAGTGGGTTGTTACGGAGATCAGCGGCCTGTGTTGGGCACCATCTGGCACTGTTTTTCCACTCTGAGGCCCGGAGGTCAAGGGAGACGCTGCTTGTGCAGCATAATTGGGCTTGCTCCAGCTACCCAGTTCCCAGCCTGAGCGGGCCCAGCAGTCCCTCAGCCCCCACAGTGGCCATGATGCCAGCTTTCTATGCCAAGAGTGGCAGAGAGGGCACCAGAGCCCTGGGCACATCGGCGCGGCATGGCTACCAGCTTCTTCCCCAGGTATCCTGTCACCATTGCGTGTGCTCTCTTCTCCCAAGCAGGAAAGGAAGGGCTTGTCCTCACTCCCTGCACGCAGCTGCCAAGGTGGAGGATTTGGGCAGAGGCGGCAGCCTGGAGAGTGCAGACCCTGGGCCTAAGGTCAGAGGACTGCTCCAGCCCAGCTCCACCATGGGCAAGTCACACCGCCCCCCTGTTCGAGCCCTGGCTTCCTTCCTTGCGCAAGGGGGCTTACTCACGCACACACACCTGCTGTGTTCCAGAGCCCAGAGACAAGTGAGGTGCCGCCCCTGCCCTCTCCAGGGACGGCTTCTTTAAGTCACAGAGTCTTTTGAGAACAGATCAGAACTGGACTATCTCCCAGAAGAAATGGGTATTTGTGCAGATTAAAAAAAAAAAAGTTCTCTCGAGTGCTTGAAGACATCCTGGACCCTCTGAAGCTGCCGTCTGGGGTGAGAATCTCTGGCCTGCCCAGGGGGCTGGGAGAGGATAAGGGGAGACAAATTGTAGTTTCATTTTGTGAGCTAAAATGCACAGCATAAGCGTAGCAAACTGCAGTCGGCATTGTTGCCAGTGTTGCTCCTTTGTTATTGGCCACGTTGCCTGAGTCCCCAGCACTAAACCAATGTGATTCATGCCACCCTGGGACGGGGATTGTCTTATGCCCTGATATCTGGTAGCATGGTTTCTCCCCATACTCCGGCTGTCTTGGAGAAAGGCGCTTCAGGCTTCACAGCGTGGTTCGAGGCTAGTCCCACCAGAATACGCACCGCTCCCCTGGCCGTGTCTGAACCAGAGCCAGGAACCAGGCAGTTGCATTGTTTCTGTGGGAGCTGCAGCCTGCTCAGCCCTTCTAGGACTTCCCCTCCCTAGGCTGTTTGAGACAGAGGCCCTATCCCCTGCCTTCATTTCTCCAGCCAAGATAAAGCCTGAAAGCATCTTCCTCTTCTCTCCCACTTTTCAAGTCGACTTAAGTTGGCTGGTTGGTTACCAGCAGTGCTCCTTGGCTGTGGGAGTGGAAAACAGAGCTCATCAGTGTGTCCCAGAGGGCTGAGTCACACGTGGAACATCCTAGTTGTTTCAAACAGCCGTCTCCATGGCAATGGCTCTGGCCACATGTGCTTAAGTTAGGCGTTCGCCAAAGCGATAGGGACTGAAAATGTGAAAATCCTGGCATTCTTCACACACCTCCTTATCTCAGAGGTGTGGGAACGTCCTGTGTGGGACACCTGCTCTCTCTAAAGGGGTATGGCTGTGCTGCTCACACACAGGGTGTCTCATCTGAGATCTGTGCCTAGCTCAGCGAGTCCCTGCCACCTGCAGTTCATGCAGCCCTCATTAACTGTGTGCTCCATGACGTTCTAGAAACTTCCAGCTCTCCCAGGGTCTTTGCCAGCAGGTCATGCGATCACGCAGCTCAACTGCCAAACCCTATTTGAAGATCTCCACGAGCTTACCTCCAAATTTTATAGCCACAGTAATAAAAAAGGTTAGCCCTACACAGCGGGCACAACTACGTGCATGCCCCCAATCCTGCCAGGACGGAGAAACGGAGGAGAGGGGATTGCAGCGTGACCAGGCCCCATTGGGGTCCTTTCTCCCTCTCTCTCTTCTCTGTTTCTTTCTCTCTCTCTGGCTGTGCCTACACCCTTTGCCAATTAAATGAAAAGTTAGGGCCAGTAAGTGGCATGGTGATTGGGGCACTGGATTCCCACATGTCCGAGCATGGTTCAAGTCCCTGACCTGGCGACTTGCTTTCTCACTTTCTCTTTCTCTCTCAATATCTCTCTCTGGTGAGCCCACATGCTCTATAGAAAATTTTAAATTATTTTCCTCTTTTCACCACATTGAATTCATTTGACTTTTTCTTTTTTTTTGAGAGGTTTTTCCTATAGGGCATGTGCACTTGCCAGAAAGACAGAGACAGAAAACGAGAAATCACCCCCCAGGAAGAGATGGCCACGCCACAATCCCTTCTCCTTCATTCTCCTCTTGGGATCTTGGGCACGCACACCCAGCGTGAGTTTAAGCCACTGGGTCCAGGACTCGAAACGTGGTCGACTACATAGGAATCCAGAGACACAGCCATTACACCAACTGCTGGTCCCATGAGTTTTAAGCTGCCAGGTCTGGGACTTGAAACACAGTCAACTACGTGGGAGTCCAGTGACGTAACCATCTGCTGGTCCCAAGTAAATAATTCTTTAAAAAAAAATGTAGCCCTGAGACGGCCTGCCTGAGCGCCTCCTACAAGGAAGAAAAGGCAGATGGGATAAGCTAGGAAGAAAAGAAACTCAGAGGTCTTGAGCAACCCCATCAGGAGGTCCAGGGCAGTCAGCTTGGGAGGGGAGATGCTGTCCTATTTAAGAGAAAGGAGAGGGAATGGCTCAAAGGCCCAAGGCTGGTTCCTGCTGGGGACTCTGGTCCAGGCCTGCTCACTCGCAGCCCAGCGCTCTCCCAGGCTGGCGGGGGTGCTGGAGCCCAGTACACAGCTCTTCCCAGCTCTGTGCTGGTGTGGAGATCAACCCCCACCCGGAGCCAGTTGTTAACAGCTTACCAGCACAGCACTGCGATGGGGGCCTGCCCTCTTCACAGTCTCACTTGCCCTTTGAGGCCCTAGTCCAACAGCCAAGCTGCCCTTTGACACCCAGAGACATGAGTGAACCCAAGTCTTAGACCTGCACAGCCACGAGTTTATTACGTGGGCTCGGGGAAGTCTCTGTACCGTCCACAGATTCAGTGTGTTATGTGACGGGCCTTACGGTGCTTCTAGGTGTTTACCAGCAAGTTGTAGGTTGATTTTACGTTATCGATGGACTTTCATGTACGAAGGCCATGTGTAATGTCTCTCTCACTTCCTTGATTTGGCATACATTCTGCCCTTTGTCAAGAGAGCAGAGAACAGAATTTGGAATTGGACAGCTCCAGGGCTGCTCTTGGGAGACCTGGAGCAGTGACCGTAATGCTTATAATGGGATGCTTCCTAAATGGCAGATTCCCATCTAAGCGACGGACGCATACGGGCATGTTGGCTGTAACACAGTATATGTGGTCCTGCAGAAAAGGTTGCACTTTGTAAAGCTGCCCACTAAAAATAGCAGGA